GTTGCCATTTTGTTAGATTACAAAGTTAGGTGGGAATATAATTGGTTTTACGTTTGCGTGTCCACAAAATCTAATATGTTTTTTTTGAAATTTTGCCTGACAAAAAAAAAAAATTCCTTATCAAATTGATGTATACTATGCTTTTAATGTTAAAGGTTTTTAAGTTTTGATACACTTGATCTACACCTGATCTCAAAATCTGATTGGCTGATGCGCAGAATTTATGGAGGGTATTCTTGGTGTAATAAATTTTTGATGGAGATACTGGGATAGTTATAGGTAATCACCTAAATTCGTTATATTTTTTGGGACTCATTTCATGAATGCTATTTTAACATTTCTTTTATTATTCGCATATTTGTCTTTTAAGCTTCTTTTATTACCGGTATTATAAAATTTGCGAGTCCTGAAGCTAGTTATTAAAGTAACTATTATTTGATTTTAAGAGGATCAGAGTGGACCAGACCAGTAGTATTTATTAAATGAGTTTCGCAAAATATACCGAATTTAAGTTATTACCTATATTGTAACCACGGGACCCAAAGAAATCGAAAAAAGTGATAAGATGATTTAATTGATGAATATAATAATCATTTATTGTGGGGGATGATGCTTGGAATCGGAAAATGCTTGGAATCATGTGATATATCGAGCATGTGATCTACGTTGGCTTCCAAAAAATTCCGATCTTGTGTAACGCAATAAACAACAGCACCAGGACGTATGATCCAGGGACACGGAAAATTTTTGATTTATTTAGAACGATATAAATCGATATTTTTGGGTCAAATCATGGGTAAATCGATCTTTTTACAAAATTTTTTGTAGTATAACATTACACAATATCGGCGGCCAGAATTATGGATAGTGCAGGCTAAAATTTAATGATGCTAGATTTAGAAGCTTGTGTATCATGATTATAAAAGACTTTTTCATGATTATTTTTACAATTAGATTGCAGACTTTTTTTTTTTTTAAAAAAAAAAAAAATTTGATTTAGAACTTGTGCTATTAGTTTTGTAAGGTGCAAAGCTTTTTTTAGCTCAGGCAAATAAAATGCCTTCCAAACAAACTACCATATATTCCCGTGCACAGAAATTTCCAGATTATTTTGTTGCTGATGCTGGTGTCTTAATGTGCCAATTTTGCTGCCATTCTGTGAATTGAAATACCAAGGCTATTATTACGGTTCATATTAATACAAATACATATAAGAATTTAAAAGTGAGGGCAACTTCTTCTTTAAATAAAACCAGACAACCTACTTTAAACTCAGTTTTTGAAGCAAATGAATTAAAAAGGGTTGCAATTAATGATTTGATCCATGTATTTGTTCTCCTAGAAAAGGTAAAAAAGTTTAGACCATGTTAAGGGAGCATTTATGTGAAGATGATAGTATTCTTTTGGTCAATATACTGTGTTGTGACTATCTAGTCACAATTAAACAAACATTTAGTAGAGCATGAAGCATAGTTAATATTTTGTTTAACTATCACAAATTAACTAAGTTAGTGGTTGTAGATTATTTAGATAAAGTAAATAATTCAACTATCAGTCAATTAATTGTTTGTACTTTGGCTAATTGGAATATTTTGTTTAATGATACACAATTAATTGTATCAGATTCAGTATCTTATATGAAGAAGTGTGTTTGTGAAGTGCTCAAACCAATTATGCCTCAAATAATGCACCAAACTTGTTTGGTGCATATTCTAAATTTAATTAGGTTAGAATAGCAATAGAATTATTTAAATTAAATAAAATATTTATCATGCTTGTCTAATAAAAAAAAAAGTTGTATATAAAATTTTATATATTATTTAATAAAATTAAATTAATTATATATATTTTTAAAAAAAATTTAGTGAAGCTTGGGTATTTATTGAACATTTTAATATTATTTATAAGTTGTTAGCAGAAATTAAAAAAAAACTTTAATTCATTTAAAAAGTTGGTGCACAAGATACATTAGATTTTTGTATCAAAATGGAGTTTTTCGCCCAAATAATATTCTGTTGCCTAATGCAATATATTGAAACTCATGGTATAAAATGTTATTTTATGTAAAGAAACACCTACAATTGATTTGAGATTTTTATACTGAAGAGCATAGAGAAAACATCTTCCCCACAATTGAAAAAATTGTAGAAATTTTTAATGACCAGCAAGAATATGGGTGTTTATGAATATATTTAACATTTATTAAAAATTATGATCAATAGTTTATACGAGATTTAGACTTTTTCCAAATTGAAAATTTACCAGTATTTCCATTTATTGAAGGCTGAATTGTACAGTTAAAAAGTACAATTAATATAGGAAGATCTTTAGAAAATATAATTCAACCTGAGCTTAAGGTATTTAATAAACTTAATACAGAAGTCAGTTTAATTTTCCTATATTTCACTCTGCATATAAAGCTGCTGATAAAAAATTTTGTGATCATATTAGTAATCATCCTATATGTCCTTTATTTTAAGAAGCCTGAATTTTTGATTCTCATTTTATTTTACTTTCTAATATTAATCATAATATTTTATCTTATTCTTATATATGAGAATTAGCAAATTTTTTAATCAATTTAGTTCAAGAATGGGCAGTTTACTGCAATTTTAATATTTTTATAATCGATTTTCATACTCTAGATAAGTTTTGGAATAAGGTTTCCTATTAGTTACCTTTGTTAAGTGAAATTGCTTTAGATTATATTTGGCTTCCTATATTATCTTACAGTGTAAAGCGAAGTTTTTCTACATATAACAAAATTTTGGATGATAATAGACAAAATCTTAGCAAAAAATCACTCTGTGCTCTTATAATAATGTATTATAATTGATAATTTTAGAAACTGAACTATATAAATAAGTTCAATTTATATATTAATATTGATATACTAATTTTTTAAAGGTTTATTATGATTATTATCATTAAATCAGTAAATTTATTATGTGAAAGATAAATTTGAAAAATATTTTTTTGGCTCTGATCATGTTATTTCTTATTTTGCATTCTGATTAGTCAATCAGGTAAATCAATATAAATCAATATTTTTGACCAAATCGATATAAATTTTTGCTAAATCAAATTGATATTTTTTCAGGTCATGATATGATCAACATTATTGTTATGTGATTTTTAGAGGTCTATTGGCCAATCAAAGATCAGGATCAGGTATAATGTTCACTTTGCAAAAATCGCTCTTTGAAGTTCTAACAAAAAATTTTCTTGTGCAATTTGTTTTTCTAATCTTAACCTAAACTCTAGCCTAAAACAAAAGAAGTTTTTTTCTTAACATTTGTTTTATAGTATCATGTGATAGTAAAATTAGTTCTATGCCTTGTTAAAATTAATAAAACTTTGTAGCACCAATGCTCTTAACTATATATATACAAGATTTTATGGTCGACCATGTTACAAAATAATTTAAAGCAAAACATTCACATAACTATACATGTTATAACAATACAATCCATAAATGCTTTGCATCTAATCCTAAATTAATGTGATGCTTAGCTTTTAATATGCCCAATTCTAACCTTAATTCTAAAAAAAACATTTTTTTTTTAAAAAAAAGCCTCTTTATTTATCGCTGTTTTCAAAATTCTGTGTCCCTACACAATTAACAATTAACTATGGAATCGATTGCAGAATCGATTTTCATACCCCTGCATTTCCAAAATTTATAATAATTATTGAGATGCAGGGGTATGAAAATCGATTCTGCAATTGATTCCATTGTTAGGTGTCAATTGTGTAGGGACACAGAATTTTGAAAACAGCGATAAAAAAAAAATCCAACTTTTTTTCAAAAAAAAAACTATGTGACAGGAACCTGAATGTCTTATCATTTACTTCAACCACTACAGTATATTTATGGACTTAAGCAACTTGAAAATACATCACTCAGAAAAAGTTGGCTGCAACTTTCTTCTTCAGGTTTGTTGATTTATATTGTGGTCAGATGCAATAGCAATTTTGGTTCTGGATTTAATTGTATTGTTCACTGTTTTTTTCTTATGCACACGCTAATAGCATAATTTGCTGTGATATTTTTCAAACAAAGCATTTATGGACTAACGAATTTCAAAATTTGTAAAATATGTTTTTCTGTGGCAGCTTCACTGATTATAGTATCAAGAGTGGCAGTTTCAGAGGTATTAAGAAGATTACAGTATGACTTTCTGAAAGCTATTTATTCAACTAGCCACTTATCTGATATTACAAGAGTAACAAATTGCTAAAAATATATACCTGCAGCTAATTAAATACTAACTCTAACTCTATGTGATGTCAGTTAAGTGACTTGTTAGATAAATAGCTTTTGGGAAATTAAGCAACAACTATCAAAGAGTGGTATTTCCAGAGGTGTTTGTGGGCTCAGAGGCAGTCTCTAAGGCAGCAATAGGTTCAAAGTCATTTGAGGGCTCAGAGGCAGTTTTTGTAGTAATAGTAGTTTCAGAGATATTTAAAGACTTAGATGCAGTCTCTGAAACAGCAGCTGTGAGCTCAAGGGCAGTCTCTAAGGTGACAGTTGTTTCAGAGTCATACATGGTCATAGAGGCAGTCTCTGAGAAAATTTCAGAGGTGGTGGTTTCAGAAATATCTGTTATAATACAAAATAATCATATGTTTAGCTATTCTAAAATGAGTTTAACCAAACTAGCATCACTAAGCTAAAAATTTTGCTATTTGGACAAATCTAATTTAAAATTGAATGTAACATAAAACAAATCAAAATATACCCAAATCTTAACTAGTAATGTCTGACAAAATGACAAAACCTAATAAAACTATAAGTTTTATCAGATTTTATTCTTTTGTCAGGCATCACTAACCCTAATGCTAATGCTTGTGGTAAAATTTTTAGATTGAGGATGCTAGAATTCACAAATAGGTTTTGCATTTGAAATAAAAACCAAGAGTATCATAAACACAATGCATTTTTCACCTAAACATTGCTTCATGTGGTATGCGACCATAGGCTTTAGAATAGTTAAGTTATATGATGTGACAAATACATCAATTACATTAATTCAATCTTTTCTCTATAATTGGTTATTTTGATCCCAAAATAACTTAGTAAAATCATGATCTATAGTCTGTTTGAGCTATTCAAGCTGACCTTGTGATTGGGAATAGTGAGACCTACTATATCTAACTATAATATTGAGTGCTTTACAAATTTGGGTGATAACTACTGTAATAAATTTCTTACCATTGTTGCTTTGAAGAACTACAGAAAAACCAAGAATTTTGAAAACATCTTTGAGAAGATGTGTCGCAACTATACTTGCTTTCTTGTTTTTCAAAGGAACTGCAACAAGTAACTTGAAAAACATACAGACACAGATAAGTAGCCACACAAAATCATTATTAACTTCAGCAAAATCTCAGAAGTTGATTAGGTCGATTTGAACATACTGCCAGGGTGCTATTGATACTATGAGTTTCATATTCACTTTTTCTTTGATAGTGGTGTTTATTGCACAAGCAACACACTGATTAACATATGCCTTTACTTCTTCCTGAGTGATTCCAATATGCTTTTCTGAAATCACAGAAAAGTTTTATGATACTTACAGTGGTTGGCTTGATTATAGAAGTATAACAATATTTGGATCTGCATCTCTACATTATATTTGGGATCACATGGCATTTTTCTGATACTATACTATTCTTTACAACCAGCTGGAAATAAAGACAATCATTTTTGTCATCCTCAAATTTCTTGCAGCAACTGATAAAATTGAACTTTTTTTAGGGTCTTGTTAGGCATCATTTGGTATAGTCTTTGAATAGTGATATTTAACAATTACTTGATATTCTTCTGGGCTATCTGAAATTTTTGGAATAGCAGGCATGTTTTTTTTTTTTTCCTTTCTTTTTTTTCTTTTTTTTTTTTTTTTTTTTTTTTTTTTTTTTTTTTTTTTTTTTTTTTTTTTTTTTTTTTTTTTTTT